AATCAGTGGGGAAAAGGTGGACTATTTATTAGGAATAGTCTAGAAAAGTTTCCTACTTCACATCATATACAAAATCAAATTTCAGGTAGATAATAATCTAAATTTAAATTTTATATATATATATATATTATACATGTATATAAATATATGTCTATATATATATATTTATAAAGACAGTCCATATTTTATAATTTTCAAGGGTAATATGGGCATACCAGGAGACCCTCCTAATGCAGACATGTAACTCTTCATACATCCCACATTCCAGATATTAATGGATGTTTGTAGTTGTTTCTTCTCATTTTGAGTCACCTTCTATGTCTATGGAAAGAGAATATGGAAAAGCTCAATATCATGAGTCAAACAAGATAGGGGCTGACTATGGAACAAACCACCAATTGCTCATATGCAAGTTGAAGTTGAAGCTACAGAAATAAAACAAATCCACAAGTGCCAAAGTGTAACCTTGTGTATATCCTACCTGAGTTTAGTGACCATATGAAGAATAGATTTGGTTCATTAAACATCAGTGACTGAAGAGTAGACAAATTGTGGGATGACATCAAGGACATCATATATGAAGAAAATAAAAAGGTCATCAAAAAGACAGGAAAGAAAAAAAAAAAGGATGTCAGAAGACTCTGAAATTTGCTCTTCAATGGAGAGTAGCTAAAGGAAATGGAAGAAATGATGACATAAAAGAGCTGAACAGAATGGCAGCTCGAGAAGACAAAGTGAAGTTTTGTAATAAAATGTGCAAAGAGTTGGAGTTGGAAAACCAAAAGGGAAGAACATGTTCAGCATTGCTTAAGCTGAAAGAACTGAAGAAATATTGGAGGATTCAGTGGGCAAAATATTGAACAATGCTGGGCCTCCCATCTTATACATCTTATACAGAGTCACTGTACCAAAAAAATTGGTTGATGTTCAGACATTTCCGGACCTAGTATATGATCAAGAACTGATAGTACTGAAAGAGAAAAGTCCAAGCTGCACTGAAGAAATTGTTGAAAAACAAGGTTCTAGGAATTGATGGAATACCTATTGAAATGTTTATCAAACAGATGCTACACTTGAAGCATCCCCTTGTTTATGCCAAAATTTGGAAGACAGCCACCTGACAACTGACTGGAAGAGATCTATATTTGTGCTCATTCCAAAGAAAGGTGATTCAACAGAAAGCATAATTATTGAGCAATATCATTAGTATCACATGCAAGTAAAATGCTGCTGAATATGATTAAAAAACAGTTAACAACAGGATATTGACAGGGAACTACTAGAGATTTAGACTGGATTCAGAAGCAGGCATAGAACGAGGGATATCATTATTGATATCAGGTGGATCTTGGCTGGCAGCAGAAAATAACAAAGATGTTGACCTGTGCATTATTGACTATGAAAAGGCATTCAACTATGTGGACCATAACAAATTATAGATAACATTGTAAAGAATGGGAATTCCAGAACACTTAATTGTGCTCAGGTAGAACGTGTACCTAGACCAGGAACAAAAACAAGGGGCTGCTGCATGGTTGAAAATTAGGAAGTTGTCAGTCAGGGTCGTGTCTTTTCACCATGTTTATTCAATCTGTGTCCTGAACAAATAATCAGAAAAGCCAAACTTTATGAAGAATGCAGCCCTCCATGAGATGGATTGACACAGTGACTGCAATGATGGACTCAAACATGGCAGTGATTGTGACAATGGCACAGGACTAGTAGTGTTCCCCATTCCATTCTACATGGGGTCTACATAGGATTTGAGAAAGACTTATTAACAACCTGCGATATGCAGATGACATAGTCTTGCTTGCTGAAAGTGAAGAGGACTTGAAGCACTTACTGATGAAAGACTATGGCCTTCAGTGTGGATAATACCTCAACAGAAAGAAGACAAAAATCCTCACAACTGGACCAGTAAGCAACATCGTGATAAATGGAGAAAAGATTGAAATTGTGAAGGATTTCATTTTACTTGTATCCACAAACACCTATGGAAGCAGCAGTCAAGAAATCAAATGACATATTGCACTGGGCAAATTTGCTGCAGAATACCTCTTAAAGGTGTTAAAGAACAAAGATGTCACCTTGAAGATTAAGGTGTGCCTAACCCAAGCCATAGTATTTTCAATCACCTCATATGCACATGAAAGCTGAACAAGCAATAAGAAAGATAGAAGAAGAATTAATGCATTCGAATTGTGGTGTTAGTGAAGAATATTGAAAATACTATGGACTGCCACAAGAATGAGCAAATCTGTCTTAGATGAAGTACAGCCAGAATGCTCCCTGGAAGAGAGAATGGCCAGACTTTTTCTCTTGTACTTTGCTCATGTTGTTAGAAGGGACTAGTCGCTGGAGAGGAATATCATGCTTGGTAAGGTAGAGGGCCAATGAAAAAGGGGACAGTCCTCAATGAGATGGATTGACACAGTGACTACAATGATGGGCAGCAATTGTCACAATGGTACAGGACCAGGAGTGTTTCACATTCTGTTGTACATGAGATCACTATGAATTGGAACAATTTCAATGGCAACAAACAACAAGAAGGAGTTCTGGTGGCAAAATTGTTAAGCACTCAGCTGCTAACCCAAAGCTCAGGGATTCAAACCCAGCAGCTTGCTTTGCAGGGAGAAAGATGTGGGAGTGTTTCGGTAAAGACTTACAACTTTCGAAACCCAATGGAGAAGTTCTGCTTGGTCCTGTGGGGCCACTAGGAGTGGGAATTGACTCAATGGTGATGGGTTTTGGTTTTGGATCTATATACACACACATATATATTTATCTTCAATAATGCATTCTATTATTCAGAAAATATGTATAATTTAGTAACAAAAATGCAAAGAAACTAAGTATCAGAAAAATGGGCCAAGGGTAAGTACAGGCAAATACCTGAAGAATAAAATTATCAATAAACTCATGAATAGATGTTCACAGCCCCTAGTAATCAAGGAAGTAGAAATTAAAACAACAAATTGACATTTTAAATTCACCTCTTGGCAAAAATTAAAAACACAAATAATACTCAGTTCTATTCCTCTCCCTCCTATTTCTTGGGCCATACTCCAGTGAAATGGGATATTAGAAATGGGTGCACTGATAAATTGCTACAGCACATTTCTGAGGGTAGATGGGCAGGATCTGTTGAAAGTTATAATGCACATTGGGGCATACAAAATTTGATAACAGTAATTCTACTTTTAGGAATCTGTACCATAGAAAAATGGAAGTGTGCAAAAATATTCATAGTAGCATTATTTGTAGTAGCAGAAAATTATAATCAACTCCAAATATCTAGCAATATGCAAATGTTAAACAAATGATAGTTTAGGCATACTGTTATATTCTGAAACTGCTGAGCTAAATGCACAGCACTGACATGGCAACACTTGGACATGGAGGATATCCTTGAGTGAGAAAAGCAAATCTAGGAACACATGTATATGCAGCATGATTTAATGAGGTGAGGGGGCTGTTTTGTGCCAAGAAATAAAAAGGTCTTGGGGAAAAAAACACACTTAACTAGCAAAAATGGTTATAAGTCTGAGGTATGTGGGATGAAGAAAATTTCATTTCTCATTTTGTATACTTGTGCAGCGTTTGCAATTCTTTCTTATCACAAGGATGTGGGGCTTTTAAAATGTTCAGAAATAAAAGAAATTATAAATGCTAGACAATTCAGTCTTTGACCAAAAAGAAAGAATTTGGTTAAAAGATTGATGGTAAAAGCTATAGCTACCTATGCCTAATGGGAAAAAAAAAAAAAAGAAAAGAAGAAGAAGAACAGAAAAACCCTCCTTATTGCTGTATTAATTTTCTGTGTCTGGAAAATTTATTTCAGTGATTTCTTTATGATTATTTAGTTCACTGTATTTAATTGATAGCATTTACTGAAGTTTTGTGAAAAAATATTTTGCAGACCTTTCCCATTGTGATTTATGTATTACAATTTCCCTGATGAATTGACTGAATGGGGAATTAGTAAAGGAGATACAAATCTGGGAAGTAGTCAGTGGTCTTACTTACCTCTAAGGGAAACCTTATTTCATAATGATAAAGTTTGAAATCTTTCCTGTGGCTGTTTCCAATTGTTTATTAGTGTTCTAATTGTCTTAACGTGAAGTAGCAGTGAGCTAAACTAACCTGCTTCATTCCTGTTATTAATTTAATTTCAAAGACATTTCCTCAACTCAAATAAATAAGTGAATGTGAATGGAACCAGATTCTGACTCAAAGTGTTCAATTAATTGCTTCCAAACGTTAAGATACATTCTTCAACACCCACACATAATAAAAAATCAACTCATAAAGAGTGATTAGGTGAGGAGAGAGATGACTATAACCATCTCTGCTTACAGATCATGTTTAAGTTAACATTAGTATTTGCTATCTACTCTATTATAAATTAGGATTTATTGTAGAAATATATCAAAGCACAATAGTAAAGAAAACAGATTCTTCTCAGTTTTTGAAATGTACCTAACAAACTCAACCTCTTGCAAAATAACTTTCTTATTCAAAATGGAACTGGGAATTGTTCAGCACGCAATGAATCATCTTTTGGCAAGTACAACAGAATCTTTTGGGACATTTCACAGCCTCTTGTTCTATTGTGAGGATGTGTTTGGCTTTCACAGGTAGGAAAGAAGGTAGCTTGTATAGCCATTCGTTGCTAAAATTGTAAAGATTTTTCAGAGTTGCTGTTGAAATAGATCCTTTTGCTTTCTGTCTTCCTGTCTCTTTATCCAGAGCTGCTTTGTCTCACAAAAACAATCTGGAATTACTTAATGCTAATGTTTTCTGGTTTTACTATTTACCCAGGATTCAAATATTAAACATTAATATGGGAAACTCCCTTTTCCTTACTTCATTGCCCTATATTTATTTAACTTACTCTGCAGGAAGAAAATCTCATCTTCTTTCCCTCTCTGTGTTAGTGTACTTTTTTTTTTATCAACAAAAAATGTTTAGTTTTTATTTTTGCTTTTTTCCAGGAGGCTTTAGAGCTACCCCCCGATGATTTTGAAGTGACCGAAACTGAAGCAACATCCAAAGTGATTAAATATGAGTACCATGTCTTATATTCCTGTAGTTACCAAGTGCCTGTGCTTTACTTCAGGGCAAGCTTTTTAGGTAAGACCATGTTTTATGCTAAAAGTAAATTCATAACAGTTGCATATAAGGCAGAACACATACTTGGAAAATTATTCTTGAGGGAAAAAAAAAAATAAAAGAGTTAAAAATAAGAAAACTGTGGGTGAGGTAAGGTTTTACCAGTAAATTTTCTCATGCTTCAGGAAGAGTGAGTCTCAAGACTTCAGATTGAATGATATCATCCTAGCTTTAAGTCTGATCTTCAGATTCTTGGCATCCTGCCTAACATTGACTAAGCCCCCCTGGCCCTTTTCTTTACTTTACTTTAAACAAGTAGGAACAACTTAAAGCTACAATGTTTATTTACTTCTAACTTTAAAGATTCCTTCCTATTTCAAGCGATCCCATTAACTCAAAGGCCCTAATACCTTTTCCCCAAAAGCTAATCATTATTTCAAGAACCGTTTATCACTTAGCTTAAGCTATATTTAAAAATAGCATGAACATTTCCTTTGGCCATCTATACATCTCCAGTGCCTTCACTTCCTCCACTGCTGTTACTCAATTCATTCCCCTGCCAAGAAGGTAGAACACTCTGTCTCCTTTGAGACCTTTCCTAATAAAGCTTATTTAATCAGCAGCCACATGGAGTCCTCCTTCTGCAGTGCTTGGTGACTCCCCTTAATGCTTACCAACTAAACGGGGTCAGCCTTGTGAGGCTGGGCCACGCCGGGCTCAGAGACCAAGGGGAGCCCCTTTCCAGCCCATCCCCTATCCAATTTCTCCTTTTCTCTCTGGTCTTATCAGCAGCATTTTGCATTTAAAACAGGCTTCTAACTTTTTTCTGTATAGCTAAGACATCTGAATTTAGCCAGTGATATTTTATTTTTAATTAAAAAGTAGCTTAAGCTGCTTTGAATGTGTATTTGGTAGATTTAATCACTTACTGCCTTATATTGTTTAATGGTCTCTAATTTTGCAGTGTTGGCGGTTTAACAAGCACTTAGGATTTAAAACACAAGAACAAATTCTCATAGACTCCCTGGTGAGAAGATTTTAATCTGAGGTGCAGTTCCTAAGAACTGACAATTTGGGGTAAACTTTCAGTGTGGGACATGGGGAATTGAGGACACTGATAGTTCACTAATTCACAAACTCTTGCTGCAGATTTATCCAGATGATTATTACAAGCTTTTAAAACACTCACTTTATTGTAATTATATTTGGATTGGGGCCCAGAGGTTAGACACTTCTTGTCAGTGGGCTGAGCTATACTGAAATGTAGAAGGAGATATATTTATTTATCGAGGGGAGGATGTTGTCTTTCTTGGTTTTGGTTTGCACTGGCTCTAGCCACTACTTTCTAGATTCAAAGGCATGTCAAGGCTGCAGGTAGAGGAAATAGGACACTACTTCAGAACTTTACTTTCATATAAGTAATTAGTATTCACCATAAGCAGTTAATCACCAGAGAAGAGCTCCCAGAGACAAAACAAGTTGTTTAGCTTGTCAGCATTAGGGAATCAGAGGTCTTGAAACATGACTGCTTCTAGCTGGAAGTGGGTCTTGCTGAAGCCGGTGGATGAGCTCTGGTGTGTGCTTTGCTCTTATGTGCCAACAGCTCCCCTTACAGTCCAGCTCCGTAATTGTTCCTCCAAGCCCAATTATATTTTAATGGTATGTGAATACTTCTAAGATCTTTTCTCCATTATGGCTTTCTGTTTCTTAAAATAAGATTACTATTCTTGGGCTCTCTTTATATACTTTTAAAATATCCTTCGTATTTTTTTAATAAAGGAAAACGAAAAGAAGTCATTTATTTTATATAGAGACATTCTTTGCTCTTCTCCATGACCCCCATGGATTCTGTATTGTATAGAATAAGCATAAGAATTATTTGTTTAATTAATTTCAGTCCAGAATTCATCTAGTGCTTGTTCAGGTACATGAAAATACCAAATTTATTTTTTTGGCAAAGCATGCTGAATGTTTTCTTGTAGAGAAACATGAAAAATGGTTCTTTTATCCTATTATAATCATTATTTCTTTTCTACCTAGCTTGACCTAATAGGTATTCTACAAATGGATCACTTTTTATTGTAGAGATACAATTTTTAATTTATTCCCTTCTGTCCAGTCCACATTCTTGTGATATCTAATCTATTCTTGCCCTTCATCTGTTTGTTATATAAAAAAAAATCTCTGTCACTGTGGTAAATTGATTCCTCATGTCTTCCTCTTATTCCAGATCCAGATTTTTCTTTGTCTCATTCTAAGAGAGTTCCGACCTAGAAAGAGGATAACTAAAATTTCTGGCCCAGGGGTCTTTTTTGTTGCTTCAAAAATAGTTCGCTTAGCCTTGTTTTTCACAGATACTTCAAATTTCTTTTGTATTAGACTGTTACTAAAACTTAATTTCTCTGTTTTGCTCTGAATTGTCTTCCTATTCCTTTATTTTAGGAAAAGCAAGTAGTACATAATTTTTATTTAAATAGGCATTACTCGTTCTTTTATCAACTAGCTTAAATTCCAGAAAAAAATCTTATTCTTTTTCGTGTAATGCACATCTACTAGACTGTGAATTCCTTTTATTCCTGTGTATGGGGCAGTATCTAGTAGGCCAATTACTGCCCAAGATTCAGCTAAAATGCCACTTTCTTTTTATTGCTCCCATATCATCTTATATCACTAGTTGTACTATAGCAGAGTTATTTGTTTACATTTCATTATGCTCATTAAGATAGTGAGCTAGAAGTTAGGGTTCTATAGAAAAAAAAGAGAGGATGAAGGGAATTAATATTGAGTACCTAGAAAATGAGGGAGCTCTGGTAGCAGGCGGCGTCTAAGTCCGGCTCCGGGTCCGGCTCGCCAAGGCCGTCCCCGCCACCTCATCTTCCTGCTGGTCGACCCCGGTCACCGAG